CGCGCCGGGTCCTCCACTGCGGCACGAACACGGTGATGTTGCGGTTCCCCAGCTTCCAGAAGTACTCGACCGCGATGGCGATGCCGCGACAGGAGAAGAACTTCTTCAGCCCGTGGCTGTGGGGACACAAGCGCGACTGTGGGTGGAGAGCACACCCCCCTGCAGCTGGAGGACAGACTCCACGGACACTTGCAGGAGCGACTCAGAAACGCCCAGAGGCCCAGGCCCCGCAGCCACAGCCACAGCTCGCAGCCCGGCCCGGGCTGGTGATGGCGAGAGCGGATGGCGGGATAGGGCGGCAGCGGCCTGTCCAGAAGCACACGAGGCGGCGAGGAGGCAGCCACAAGCCATTTGCTCCCGGGAAACAGGCTGTGGGTGGTTCTCATAGAAGCGGGACAGGTGTCTGTGTGTGTGTGTCTGTCTGTGTGTGTGTCTGTCTGTCTGTGTCTGTGTGTCTGTGTGTGTGTGTGTCTGTCTGTGTGTGTGTGTGTGTCTGTGTGTGTGTGTTTGTGTCCGTGTGAGTGTGTATGTGTGTGTGTGTGAGTGTGAGTACGTATGTGTGTGTGTGTGAGGATGTTTGTGTGTTGTGTGTGTGTCTGTCTGTGTGTCTGTGTGTGTCTGTTTGTCTGTGTGTCTGTGTGTGTCTGTCTGTGTGTGTTTGTCTGTCTGTGTGTGTGGGTGTGTGTCTGTCTGGTGTGTCTCTGTGTGTGTGTCTGTCTGTGTGTGTTTGTCTGTCTGTGTGTGTCTGTGTGTCTGTGTGTGTGTGTCTGTCTGTCTGTGTGTCTGTGTGTGTCTCTCTGTCTCTGTGTGTGTGTGTCTGTCTGTCTGTGTGTCTTTTTTTTAATCTTTAAAAAGAATAAATGACTTGGCAGGCGGTTGAGCATTGCTCAGTGGTTGAGCATTGACCTAGGAACCAGGAGGTCACAGTTCGATTCCAGGTCAGGGCACAGGCCCGGGTTGTGGGCTCCATCCCCAGTGTGGGGCGTGCAGGAGGCAGCCGATCCATGATGTTCTCTCATCGTTGATGTTTCTCTCTCTCTCTCCCTCTCCCTTCCTCTCTGAAAAAAAAAAGAAGAATAAATCATCCCAGTCGCTTCAGCCAGGAAGGCCAGAGCTGATGGCAACCGCAGCCAGAACAAAGCACAGCCGCGTGGACCCCTTGGTTTTCCTCAGAACCAGGCACAGGTGGGCCCCGGGGAAGACACAGCACCTTAGAGAAAGGCACCAACAAAGGCTGCAAAGGGCCTCCCTAGCTCACTGGGCAGACACAGGCGTGTGGAGCCCTTCCCTCCTCGCCTCTAACGCTCCTGACGACAGCGGGGACCCCTGGAGGGAGGGGACCCAGCCCACCCCACGGGGCACCGAGGAAATGGCCGGAAACACAATCAGATGGCATTCTGCCGCCCCGGGCCCCTCACGGCTCAGAGGGGAAGCTTGGAGGCAGTTCTAGAAACACTAGCTCTAAACTAATTCCAAAACGTCACCCTCAGTGACGAGATCACACCACCTGTGGTCACCTGAAACATTTGGTGGAGAACACACAGATTTACCCGAAAACAAAACTACGGGAGAAAGGGGAGTGCCCACACTACCGTCCTCCAAGCAATACAGCGGGTCCTTCCCACCTCCCCTCTCCCCACCAACAGGCAGCACTGTGCTGCCCTCGCTGCCTCCGGGCCCGCCTGCCAGCCACCCGGAGCCTGGGGACAGGTGCACCCGGACCAGCTGTCCACGCCGACCCAGACAAGGCGCCCGGGCACAGCGACCCTCT